AGCATTCTTCCCCCATTCTCTCCCTCATTCCCCTATATCCTACACTTTATTGAACAAAGAATACTCTCCAAATCATATGCGTGCAATTAAGTTAAATATGCAATTAAGTTAAACATGACAGTCATTTAATGAAATGTCACACAAATCAGTACTTGTCATTGTGCAAAACTATACTGTTTATAATAAAATACATGATGTTAGACTTGAAAATAACATATTTGAAGAAACTGGTAAGTTTTAAACCTTTTTAAAATACATTAAAAAATAAAATACACACTATTTAAAACTATTTTAATTTGTCTTGCTTCCTAAATGAAACCCAAATGCCAACATCAAAACTGATGATCACCCTGGAAAAATTAACTCTTATAACAACAGAATACAAGTTCTGAATTAATGTGTGCTCAGTGATTTAATTAGGGCACAATCCAAGAAATATTAGTTATTACCAAATTCATATAGTTATATTTAATGGCATAGTTTTCAGCATTTCTTTTTTAAGATTTTATTTATTTATGCATACAAGAACTGAGGTGTAGGCCAGAGGTGTGGGAGGTAAGAGGATTCCCCAGAGACACAGTGGGGAGCAGAACAGGTAGATCTACCGATATACACTACTGAGGGGAGCAGCGGGAGAGATAGGAGAGGTCTGCCTGCCATGTTGGCTAGCTGCCTGGCCGGGAATTAAAGTCATGCCTCAGTGGCTGGCTATAGCTTGATAGTGCTGAGACTTTGACTCCTGCATCACCAGGGAGTCCCTATTTTCAAAGGGAGATGTCAAAGGACATCAGGAGTAAGTGTTCAAAGAACTTTTCAAAAAAATTGACACCAGTGATAATAAGAAGACTTCAACATCCATGCCAGACCACACTCACCCCATGCCATGTTCTCCGCCTGAGTTATGGATTCTCTCGAAGGTGAGTGGGTTTGTTAGGGGTTTTCCAGTCAAGGAAGTTGAAAGCTATAGACATTAACAACAAAAGTGCCCCACCCCAAAATGAATTAGTTGAAATAATTGAAGTTGAAAAAGTATTTCCTGATGACATCTTCATTTAAATTGATTAACATATTCTAACTGTTCAACTACATTATTGTGATTCTTAGCAGAAATAGATAATCTCCTCAAAAGGGGTTCAGAATTCTTTTCACAGGTGGAGAAGGGGCAGGAATGGAAGCAGGGTTCCTTTTTTCAAATTTCTGCTCTAGCAAGAGAGTTCCTGAGGTAAGGAAACCAAGATTGTTGCCTCCAGATTCATTTATTGAAATTCAGCAAGTACTTCCCTGTACATGGTCCCTGGTGACCCAGAGGGTAACATCTGGGACTCTCAGGAGCACATCATTTAGGAGTGATTTATTCCATGATGCTGACACCTCTAGGCTTATCATGTATTTTATGATACTAGCAACTGTGGGGTACAGTTTGGGCAGAGGGAAGACTTATGAGTAAGACTTGGATCCTGGACCCTTGGGAAAATGGTCAAGGACACCCACAGATAAAATCACCCATGTTAGAATTTTGCCACTGTCGGACCTATGTTGAAAATAAAATCTGTTTCACACCACTGAAGATTTAGTATGGTCATTTGTATGAAGAGCTTGCACAGTGCCTAGTACATAGTAAGTGCTCAATTAATGGGAGCAAATCATACTCATTAATTTGGATCCACTTAGTCATTCAACATGTAGTTGTTGTTGGCTTACTATGTCTAAGCCCTGAGAATATATTGCTGATCAAAATAGTTTCAACCCTTGCCTTAACTGAGCTTCTACAGTAGCCAATTTAATCTTCACATTCTACATCCTACGAGGTCAAGAGCATGACATAAGGAAAAAGGTCAACCAAGGAGCCTCGCCTTTACTTGGGTTTTTATAGCCTCTCCCCAAAACCCTAATTTCTTATTTTGCTCATGCAACAATCCTTCCCACAAGACCCCCCACCCCCGCCTGCCCACCTTCTCTACCTTTCAAGTGGTACCCTTCCTTCAAGGTCCAGCTGAAGAATTCCTTTGGGTCATTACTACCTGTGAGCAGTGTTTTCAGTTGACAGCCTCCATGTTACCTCCTTCAGATTCGCCTCACTCTCAAGTGGAGGTAGTGGGTTCCTTGGGGTACCTGTGATTGTGCTGGGCTGAGGCACAAGGCCCTTTCTCCATTTCTGCCTAACACAGGACTCCCCCACCATGCTTGAGTTCCCCGCTGGATGGACAGAAATTTGTTGGATCCTCATTATGGTCTAGCGATGTGCTCCCCCTAATCCTGCTTCCTCTTTCTTGCTCTCACAAACATTACCCCCCAAGAAAGCTGTAAGTCCTAAGTCTGTCTCAACAGCCGCATACCAGAGGACCCCACTGACACTGGGGTACCCACTGCCAGTGATTGACGCTGACACTGTCATCAGCCCCAAGCCACCCCTCATTGGAGAAGGGAGTGGGGGTTTTAGAACCAGCTTTGAGCCAGTAGCAGCAGAATGCACGATCACGGCAGGTGTTGGGGCCCAGGGAACTTCCACGTGTGCATGTGAATCAAATGGCTTGTTTCTTGCTGTTCTTGGCACTGACTCCACCTTGGCTTTATATCACATGGCTCGGATGTTCCCTTGGCCTTCTCAGTGACTTATTTATTCAATTAATCAAGAGCATGACTGAAGACAAGACCACTAAGTCCATTTCAAGTGGGCCAGTTTCCGTCAAGTTGCCTGGTTATGGACAGATGGTTATTGGTCACAGGTGAACCCCAAAAGCCCCTTGCCCACACATGTGCCATGACTTACACCACTTCTCCCAACTACCTGGTAAGTTGTCACCCTTCCTATGGGTCACTTATAAAATGCCCTATATATGGTGTTGGGTGAAAAATCCTTCATGTAACAGGTGCCCAGGCTTAGTTTTTGCCGTAGGGTAGAGAGGTATTTCCCCCTATAAGTGCAATTATTCCCCAACCCATCCTTCTATACTTTCATTCATCCATCAAGTACTTGTTGACCAAGAAGGGGTTGTTCTTGCTATTCACTTCATGCTCTTGCAGATTTACCTATAATGCTCCATTTTTTTAGAGATCTACTTGAGCTTCTTCAGTAGTAACCACCAGAGGACAGACATGAGAAAAATAATGTGCTAGATTATTAAGCCTGGACCTGTCCAGTAAATAAGACTAGGAACTTTGGAATTACATCATCTTGAGCTCAAATATGGGTTCTCAAGTTTCAGCAGTTCAACTTTATAGCAATTATAAATAAGCCTGTTAAACAAAACAAAAAAAAATATGGGTTCTCCCACTCACTGATTTTGTGACCTGGATAGGTTTAGTTATCTTCTGAGTCTTAGTTCATACCTCTGTAAAATAGGATAATGACCTACAGTATCTATGAATATTATCTGTAAAGCTGAGTTCCTATTCTAATTTTGACATCAAAATATATATCTGGCCATTGGGCTGATGATATTTATACTGCGAAATACATCCCCATTGTAACTATTTGCTGTAGTAAGTGGATTCTGGCACAACCCCATGCTTGAACAAATATGATTTTGGACAAGATTCTCTTTGATTGACAGATTGAAGCCTAAGGACCACAAAAGGGCTTAATTACCAAAGCAGTCCATGCTATCTGACTACAATATAGCAGTTTGGGTTCAGGTATCAATGCCATGTTTGAAATGTGGGACTGTGATTGCATGTTAGCTCTCTGTTCTTAAAAGATTGATAGCTATTTTTGACCTGGGCATCTGAGCCCTGGAATGACTGGCCACAAGAACCAGGACCATACTCAGTGGGTCCCATAGAAGTTCTGGAGCCTAGATCCCCAGGATGGTGACAGAGGACAGGATACATACTTGGCTATCTGTTACTATTGTGCTAAGTTTGTCTCATTAGAAGTACTGTCTGCCCTTAAAGGAAAAGAAGCAGTTTCCTAAGGTGGACAGAACAATTCAACTTGCAACCCTTTTTCCATGAAACATTTACATCCCAGAGACCCTGCCTCAACCCTTCCACTGAGCCAGGAGAAGACCGACACCCATTAAAGTTTCAGTCAACTGAAGGGAAGAAAAATTTTCTGGCTCCACTCGTGGAATGACACTGGCAGAAGTTCCTTGAAGTCCCAGCCCCTGTCTCATTTATCTCTCTAGTTCTTAAAGTGCCTGTTCTAGGCCCGATTGTAGAGTAAGCATTTGGTCGTGGTAGGTTTATGGTACAGCGAAGTACACAGGCTGCCCAAACACGATCATTCACTGAGGTGAAGGGGAAGGTTGCAGTGAGTGAGTTCCAAGAACACAGAAGACAATTAAAATGTACTGAATATCAGTCACCATACTTACTTTTTTTTTTTAAGATTTATTTATTTATTTATTTATAAAAGCACTGGGTACAGCCAGAAGTGCGGGAGGGTGAGAGAATTCACCAGAGTCAGAGTGGGGAACAGAACAGGCAGACTGACGAAACACACTGCTGAGGGGAGCAGCGGGCAGCAAGAGAGGTCTGTGTGCCAACCCACCAAACTTACTTTTAAGACAATATTTTACTCAACCTGACTTTGTTCAACCCAATTTTAATCTTTTGTGATAGGACTATCATCTTTACTAGAGACAGGTCCTCTGTCTCTGAGGCTACACGCCTGGAGTAACTCACCTGATTCCACACACTGTGTGAGTGGTGAACAGACCCCCTCCACCCCCCATTCCATTTCCGGGCTACACTCCTTCCTGCCAAACAATTGACTTTCTGATTCCAAGTGTATCCACAGTCAAATCTGGTTCCAAAACACCCTCTTTAGTGCATCCACTATTTGTTTTTTCATATGCTCTGCAAAATTTAAGGTCACTAAGTAGATCTAAAAGTGATGAGACGCCAAGTTTCAAAAGGGCAAGAACAATCCTTGGCCTCCCACCAGTGAAATGGCAGTCATTTCCTAGAGCAGGGGGAGGAGCGATGTGGCCGGCAGACAAAGACCCAGACTCAGCACGAATATATAAACTGAGGCCCTGGGGAGTGGAAGGCGCATCCCAGGGCTGTGGAGGAGACTGAGCTGTCCCTGCCGACATGAAGCTGCTGCTGCTGTGTGTGGGCCTGACCCTAGTCTGTGCCCAGAGGACAAAAAACCCTGTTGTGACCAGAAACTTTGATCTTTCAAGGGTAAGAGTTGGTGGAGCTTGGTGACATCTCATTTGGGGGTGGTGTTGGAGGGTTCTGAGCCAGTAAGAGCTATGGGGGAGCAGGAATCCTACACATAGTAAATAAAAGGGGTGGTTTCAGAACCTGAACTAAAGGCAAGTGTACTGCGGTAAAAGATGACAGTACTGGAAGATCTCCCTTCTCACTGGAGTCAGTGGACAGAGCCCTTGGTGCGGGATCCATTGTCATGGTTTTGTTTTTTAATAATTTATTTATATATATTGGGCAGAAGAACTTAAAATACACTTCTCCAAAGAGGAAATGCAAATGGCCAACAGGCATATGAAAAAATGTTCAACACCCATTCAACACCCCTCATAATCAAGGAAATGCAAATCAAAACCACAATGAGGTGTCACCTTACACCAGTGAGAATGGCACATACTAAAAAAACTAGCAACAACAAATGTTGCTGAGGATGTGGTGAAAAAGGAACTCTCCTGCAATGCTGGTGGGAGTGCAAACTGGTCCGAATTCTATGGAAAGCAGAGTGGAAGTTCCTCAGACTATTAAAAGTGGAGCTACCATATAACCCAGCAATTCTACTCCTAGGGTTCTACCCACAGGACACAAAAACATTAATTCAAAAGGATAACTGCACCCCTATGTTTATAGCAGCACTATTTACAATAGCTTAGCTATGGAAACAACCCAAATGCCAAAAAATAGATGACTGGATCAAGAAGATGTGGGATATATACACAGTGGAATACTATTTGGCAATCAAAAAGATAAACAAATGCCATTTGCAGCAACATGGATGAAGCTAGAAGGGATCATGCTCAGTGAAATAAGTCAGAAGGAAAAAGAAAAATATCAGATGGTTTCACTCATAGGAGGACTATAGGGTAACCAAATAAAGGATCAGAGAAATAATAATAAAAAACACAACAAAACAAAAAATAGACAACTATAAATCATTGGCAGGGTTTTAATTCCATCTTCACGTCATCATGAGCCCTTGCCCCACAGTTCAGGGTTTAAGGAGACAAGGGCTCACGTGGTATCCCTCCCTCCTTTCTTGTTACCCAGTTATTTTACTCATTTATTGCAGATTACAGGGAGCTGGTATTCCATTCTCTTGGCCTCAGATCAGAAGGACAAGATTGTTGAAAACGGTAGCATGAGGGTTTTTGTGAAAAGCATGGATATGTGGGAAAATGGAACTCTGTACCTTGTATATAATGCAAAGTAAGTTGGCTTTATGTACTTGGGGAATTTAAAATAGAAGACTGGGTTCTCTTATCCTGGGCCTCTTCACACTGGCACATACAAACACACACACATTCTGGGTATGTGTCCAAAATCAGAGCTCCCATATGGCACTAAACCAGCATTTCATGAATTTGGGACTTTCCTAGAGTCAGAGATAAGAATGGGTAACAGGAGTAAATTTAGAGGGGGACAGAGTAGATAAGGGGTAGAACTTTATGAGAATGATGTCACGTGACAATACAGCATTGGTCTAGAATGTAGGATTTGGAATCAACGGCCTGTCTCTTGCATCTCTCTTACTAGTTATGTGACTGAGAAAATTAATCTCTTTCCACCCTAATTTTCGCTTGGGAAAAGGAGAGTGGTTACTCTCTCTCATGGTTTTTGTGAGGACCAGGTGAGGTCATGTTTATAAAGTACTTATGAGAGACTAACACGTGGTGAGCCATCAGCTAATGACCTCAGACAGGTCGCCGTAGTGACAGTAATGGTGGGAGGTAGCAGTAATAGAGTAATAATGATAGAGGTGGTTGACTATCAAATCAAGAGAAATAATTAACTATGAGCTCTTTGAAAACTGTACAAAAAATTTTCAAGAGTTAAGTGGAATCGGAATCCAAGGGAGGGTAGAGTGTGAGGGGACAGTCTGTCAGTGTCTCCTGGCGTTACTTCCTTCTGGTTTCACAGGGAAAATGGAGTGTGTATTGAATTTCCTATGGTTTGTGACAAGACAGAAAACAACGGTGAATTCTCCCTCACCTGTAAGTATACAAAACACAAACTTTCTATAAGCTATTTTCAACTGCAAAAATTTACTAGACTCTAGAATGTTCAGGATTTTGATCAATTCCTGGTCCATGCCTATGTAGGTAATATGAGGAGAGCTATCTAATAACCAATATCCTGAATTTGGGAGACGCTTGTGTGAGAAAGGCAATGTCTAGCACATAACACCGTCAGAGAAAGAAGGCAATTTGAAACCATAGAAAATTGGCAAAAAGTGAAATGGCAGGTCAACCGCTCATTTTCAGGCCCTCATCTGAGAATGCCTGATGCCATTACCATGGCAGGTTGCTTGGGATATAGCACCAGGGATGTAATATCACTGGGGCTTCTAGAGCAGACAGACACGAAGTCGGCGGAGGTAGCTACAGGGTAGGTAGTCTTGCGGAGGATAAGCGAGCGTGAATTGAGCGGTGGCTAAATTTTTCTGCCATCTATCAATTTCCCCTAGAAGTTACCTCACCGAAACCCAGAAGATGCAAACAGAACAGGTGTCACTCCCTCGAGATCTTCCAGGATATGTGCCGGGTTCTCCTGTGGGGAGACTAGGTAACGAGCTTCCTGGCCTCCCGGGGCCCAGTGACAATCTGAGCTGTGTTCTGTCCCCTCCACAGATGACGGATACAATCTATTTCATATAGTTGAAACAGACTATACAGGCTTCCTCATATTTCATCTCGTTAATACCAACAACGGCAAAACATTCCAAACGATGGAGCTCTATGGTAAAGTATTTTCATACCGACACTCCTCTTGTGTAGGGAGAGAGGGGAAGGAAACCTGGAGACAAGGGGGTCCTCTCAGTCTTACCCTGGGGTGTCTCTCATTGTGAGAAGTCAGACGCCCCCTTTGGGATCCCTCAGGCTCGGAGAGGGGAAGATGATTAAATCTCTCATTGTGCCAGCAGGACACGCTAACGCTGTCAGATTTAACTGCTATGCCCCATGCAAACACTCACGCCTTAACACCCAGCCACGGCCTCAGCGGCCCATCCAGTGGGCACCCTGTCTTTCTTGCGAGCCCAAGTGGCCAAAACACATGACACTGTCGCTCTTCCCACAGCCCGAAGACCAAATGCTAGTCCTAAACTCAAGGCAAAATTTGTGAAAATGTGTGAGGAAAATGGAATTGTTGCAGAAAACGTACTCGACCTAACCCTAAGTGGTAAGTCAAGCCGTCTGGCTTTATCCCCCTGAATTCCAGGTTATTTAAGGGGGAGGGTAGTAACACTTGTGCATGTGCGCGCGTGCGCGCACACACACACACACACAAGTTTCCTTTGTCCTAACCTTGGTCTCCCTGGGAACACACTGGATCTGGTGCTTGACTGCTCTGCTCTGTCACTACAGATCGCTGTCTCCAGGCCCGGGAGAGCGGACCAGTCTCTACCTCCAGGTTGGTGATCTCTGGTGGATGGGGAGTGGCCCAAGGAGCAGGGCCGCCAAAGGCATTGGTAGTTTGTACCTAAAGATTGCAATAAAAATAATTTGGTAAGGAAGCTTGTAGGGTGAGCTCTAAATATGGACTTCACCCATGAATACAGGAAACACTCCTTATGAGCTCTTGGGCAAATGATCTAATCTGGGAAGAGAACCGTCTAACCTGTCTGCCTTTCAACCTGGAAAATAGACTCCGAGTTTCTCATTCATTTCCCATCTCATTTATTGTGGGACTTCATTCAGATAATGTCTTGGTAGTTATGGCTTGGGTAAAGTAAGCATTTACGAAAAGGTGAACTATAGGCTTTTGCCCTATTTCTTAATTTATCGTAAATTTTCAAACTTCTTGCTCTGATGGTGGCAGAAACAATCCTAGGATGCGTCATTGCTTCCTATCTCTTAAGATAGGAGCAGCAGTAAAAAAGCCATTTACTCTCCCACACTCATTCTAGCCAATAGCGTAGGTTACAGTGCTGGCTGGCATCTGTTTCTATCTGCGATAGACATTTTCTTTGTCCGCAGTTCAATCTGAGAAGTGCTCAATAAGTTTGCATTCTCTTTTTCATCGGCTTGTTTAGTGCTTAGTGGATGCTTCCCTTACCTGAGCTCCAGGAACTTCCCTGCCATGCCTCTCTGCCACCTTGTGAGATCACCCCCATCTGCCATCTCATCTCCATCACTACCGCATGTGAAGACATTCCACTGCCATCTTGAGGATCTTCCCTGCTTGTCAGGGAAGAGTCATCAACTCACCAAGAATCAAAGGGTTTCTCCAAATTTTTACTTTCTTTGCCATATCAAGCAGAGGACTGCCACCAATGACACCGCCCTCTCCACGATCAATAAATGATTAGCCCTGCAGTGCTGTGGCTTGTGTGTTTGTGAGGGTGTGGGGCTGACAGCGAGTGCAGTGTATGAGGGGACTCCTGGGCCTGCACCCTTGATCCATCTCCAGCTTTTCAGAACTTTCCCTGAGTTTAGTATCCACCTTTTAGTCATTTCCTGATCCCTTGAGTGTTACTTGCCCTTTGACTATTTTTTAGTAACTTGGTAATTTATAAGAATATAAGACTTGGGCCTCCCTGGTGGCCGAGGGGTTGAGTCTATTATCACCTCTATGGCCTGAGGACAAGCCCCAGTCAGGGAGCAACCCACCTGGTGCAGCAGACCTCTCCTGACTCACCCGCTGCTCCCCTCAGCAATATATTTCAGTAGAGTCGCCTGTTCTGCTCCCCACTCTGTCTCTGGTGAAGCCTCTCACCCCTAGCACCTCTGGCCTACACCCCAGTTCTTCTACAAATATTAACAAAGAAACCTAACACTATTGTTCTAAGCATCTTTAAAAAAATATATAAGACTTGCCTTCCATTTCTCCATCCCAGAATTCTCTGGGGACCCTGAGCTAGATGGTGCTCAGGTCAACACCATCTCGACTTGTTTCAGGACATGACTCCACAACCCAGCTGCTCTCTATTATCAGTCTTGCAAGAGAGTCAGGTCCTTTCACACACTTGAGGAACCTCCTTCAGCCTCTGCTGCAACATCCTAGGAATATATTGAGATTCAGAATCTGTATTAGGTACAGTCAGGAAGCAGCAAGGAGGCAAAATGTTAATAAATTCTTTGGGAATCTTACAGGCATAGAAGAGAGGGAACGTTAAGATCCTTATTCACTGTAAACTTTTTCAACATCCTCAGATAAAAAGAGTGTAGACAATACACAGGGTGTTGGAGCAGAGTAGTATGTGGGTGGAGGTCATGACAAAAAAGAAAAAAAAGGCAGGTGTTATGGACACAAAATAAATGAGAGGCAGCTTTCTAGGCATCTGACACTCCCAATAATTTACCCTATCTCCCAGACCAAAAGAATAAATTACATTCAAACTTACTGTTCCTGAATTAAGTAAGTGCTTGGTCTGGTTTGCTGGAATATGGCAAAAAGCTATGTGCAAAGTCCTGTTGGTGTCTCTCATTTTAAGTGTTGGCATTTCGAGGTGAGAGCAGCTTGTGATGTATCCTAGTGTTTGCGTAGACATCAACAGTGACCAACGAGCCAAGAAGGGCCTTGGTGCTGAAGGGAGCTGGCTGGGTGGTGCCACGTGTGAGGAGATGGCAGCCAAGAGGGAGGCACAAAAGAACCTCAGCTGTTGCCGGGTCAAGAGGACAGCTTGGGCTCACCCTGAAACCCACCCTCCAAGCCAGACATTTTCTGCAACTGGGGATGAAATGCTAAGAACACTCAACAGCACAGAGTGAGAGGTCTGCAGATCAGAAACAGGGCAGCCCTTGTCAAGGACAGGACAGAAAAGACAGTGAAGGGACAGGAAAGAAGGAAAGAGCAAACAAAAGGGGGTGATGCAGGAAATAGGCCAGACCAGCATCGATCTCTGGGTTCTCAGCTCGTAGGGTCACCCATGTAGGGATGAGGACAAGTTTCCCACTGGCCGGGCAGGGACGGAGGCTGAAGATGCGTAGCTCTGGGGACTGAGCCAGAATGAATGTGAGGTCAGTTCCTCCTCCCTCACCTGAATCACAGAAAGCAGTCTGTGGCCTGAAAGGTGGTGCCACCACCCCCGTGAGAAAGAAAAAACCTCCCTTCTCTCCTGGAACTGGGCTTAAGTATAATTCCAGGTGACTAAGACCTGATGCTCACAGACCAGATGGTGCCGTTAGACGTACACAATGTCCTGGAACACCAGCATAGGGCACGCTCACTCTGAGAATGTTTAACAAGATCACTTTGCAATCCCCGAGCATGCCTTGCTCTAGGCTAAAGTGACTGGTGGCTACTCTATCAATTAGTTTTATCCTCCTATTTGTCTGGATGTCTTACAAGGTTTCTTGAGATAGCCAATGACAGAATTGCCCCCACTTTCTGACAGCGCCCAGCTAGAACTTCCCTAAATACCCCCAAAATCCTCAAATAGGTTCTTCTTATCACTCTCCACTTTTCCCAAGACTCCCATGGTTCCTTTTGTGTTTTCCTAGCTACAATAAAAAAAAGAAAAAAAAACCAACTAGTTCAGCTACACATCCCTGGTGGTCTTTGGCCAAAAGGTGTTAAGACTTTTAGGACCAGAACGCTACATGCATATGCCACCTGGAATTCTGGGAAGACCACACAAAATACACAGACAAAGGCCTGGATTAATGCTGTGCATCCTGTAGGAGCTAGGATACAGGATGCCTCCAAGGATTTTGGCTTGAACAAGTGGAAGGCTGGAACTGCAATTAACTGCAGCCTGCTGGAGGAACCAGTTTAGTGGAGAAGGATAAATATTTCAGTTTGGGCATTTCATTAGTTTATGTAGCTAGGTCTCTACAAGACAGAGACACAGCCATAACCCAGCTTATTGCAGATGAATTAATTTCTCTTTCCTCTGAATGGTCTGAAGTAAGTTTTCCAACTTGGGTGGTGTGGAACCTGCTTTGGGCCAAACACACTCATCTTGTCTCTAGCTGTAGTGTTGAGATTTCTAGGTGAAAATTAAACAGCCTGAATCAGCAATTCAGTAACTACAAAGAACAAAAACATCCCCAGATAACAGACCCCAACTCTACAGCCTTCTGTCTGAAGACATGACCGAAGAACTTAAGAACTTTTTCTTAGTACAGGGGAATATAGTCTCTTACTGTCCCCAGCACAAGGCGAAGAAACCGAGACTCAGAAAGGAAATTATCTAACTGGAACAGCACAGCTTGCTGCACGGCGGTGCTGATCTCAGAATCCTGATTTCTAGTCTAGTGATTTTATTCCTAGTAGCTGTTGCATTAAACCTTAGAATCCAGATGAATTTCCCTTCCTTCATGGGTTCTTCTTCTGCGACCTGCTTTTCTCCTACCTCCCAATAGACAAGAAACCCTAAAAACTCTTGAAAGTAAACAGTGAGAATCAAGTAGGTAGGGGTGTAGATGTGGGCACAGATGTGGGCATGCTGGGACATCTTGACATTAAGGCTAGGGGTAGGGCAGTATTTCATTAACAGAGTTTTGTTTCAAATGAGTATTTGAGAATGTAACATTTCAATAAGTCTTTCCCTTCTGACTTGATTTCCTCAGTCCACAGACATGTGGGCCTCATCAGAACCCCTTCCATTCCTTTGGGCCAGTGGCCATGTTGATTGAAATGGTGATTTTATTGCTTCTGATGGGCTTTTTTTTTTTTAAGATTTATTAATTTATACAAGCACTGGGTACAGTCAGAAGCGCGGGAGGGTGAGAGAATTCACCAGAGCCAGAGCAGGGAGCAGAACAGGCAGACTGACGATACACTGCTGAGGGGAGCAGTGGGCGGCAGGAGAGGTCTGCGCGCCATGTGGGACCCTCGCCCCAGGAAGGGAGCACAGGGAGATTCTTCCACTCCTAACAACCAACATTGTCTTTCAATTCTCAGTTCTTTTCCAACTCAGCTCTTCCTTTTGCGATCAAAAGCTTTCTTCCATGTCCTTTGTTATTAGCAAAGCAACACATCCCAGCGACGGGTCCGTGTGAGTACACAGAATGCCCGAACAAGGGCCAGTTTTACCTCAACTTACGGCATCCATAATTGGAAGTTCTGAGGGAGAAAGAAGCCCCTTATTTTAGTTAAGTTGTGGTGTTAAGTAGAAATGACACAGTTGGGGTGATGCCGCCTTCAGAGCGACAGCAAGCTATCAGGGCGCGGGAGGAGCAAGCTGCTGGGGTCCTGTTGCTGGGCACCTGAAGCTACTGTGGATGAACCCTGCTAGGGCCTCACACTTTTCAAAAAAATCAGACACGCAGAGATGTACCTGGCATGTCTTAATTTGAAGTCGTGCCAAGATTGTGTGCACCAAACCAGGCAACTTGCTGGTTTGCTGAAGTTGAAGTGTAGCTGAATCCCTTCCATTTTGCAACAAAAAATGGTGGTGCAGGTGGAAATAAAGTGTAACCACCCTTTGTTCTCTTTCCTCTAGCCTCTCCTCAAGATTAACCCGCTCCACCTGCGTTCCTGAGACCCTGGAACACTGTATTACATCCTTGTGTCCCTCTGCAAGGGGGGGTGGGAAACAGTGGCACCAGAAGCAAATATCTCCTGGCTGAGAACACACCCTGCTGGGAAAGCGAAACACCTGAGCACTGACCCCTGCACTACCTGGCACCTCCTCAGCCCTGGAATGTGAAACCCTGCACTTCCCTCACATTCCTGCACCCCTTATAAAATCCCAGTGCTCTGCCATTTGGGGAGTTGGATTTGGGGGTGCCTTTCCCATTGACTCTGTTGTTGGTGTGCTTGAATAAATCCTCTGTGTAAAGACATTTCCTTTGGCACAGAGTTGGGCACACGCTTAGTTTATAGCGTGACTTGCAGGCTGTGGGTTGGTCACACCCTGTCTCACACCTAGCACCTTGGCTGACAATGGCTCACATCTGCAAGGGCTGTCCCCACAGACCCTGGGGCAGGGCTTACCTGTCCAAAGCCTCCCTGCCACCAGGAACTCCACTGCCAGCAGCTGGAGTTCACCTCTCGGTCCTGTGAGCTGCTAAGTCTGAGGATTAAAGAGCTCAAGTGCTTAAATACCTTCCTCCTTCCCTCAACTGGACTCCAAGCCCCACTCAGGCTGCAGGTGAGTCCCATGACCCAGGCTACGTGGAGTGGAGTGGCAGCCCCTGAGCCATAGGCTTAAAGGGATGATCGCTTCTGGAGATTTTACGGGTCACTCTGTGAGGGAAGATGGTTCTACCTCTCTCTTTAAGGTACTGGTGCCCTGGAGTTAACCTGTAAGTGATTAGGACTTGTAAAAAGGACCGTTTTCCTTTCCCTTGTTCCATCCATGTTAAGCCTTTCACTTATACCCCTTGAAAATTATATAGTTATACATGAAATCAAGCTTTAATCAGTGGAGACATGATGTACGTGTCCTTCCCATTCAAGTTGTGAGTGTAAGATTTGTCCACATGCATCCAGGAAATCCACTTCCTTCTTTGTTACCACTTCAGAACAAAGGACAGCAAACCAAAGCAGGAAAAATCCCATTCATGCCTGTTTTTTTTCGTTTTTTTTTTTTGGTAAATCGAGTGGTATTAGGACACAGCTTCGCTTGCTTGTTGACATTGTGGAGGGTTACTTGGATTGTTACAGCAGAATTGATTAGTTGCAACAGATATAAGTGTGAAATCTTTACTATCTCGCCCTTTTTTGAAAAATAAAATATCTTTGCCCTGCAGCATTCCATTGAATGAATTTATCCATCCAATGGTTGATTGATATGTCAGTTCTTTTCAACTTTAAGCATTAAGTGATGCAAAATATAGATCCCAGTGCAAGTATGGAATGTGAACACATTTTTAAGCGAGGGAATTCCCCTAGGAAAGCCATAACAAATCTTAAACATCTTTCATTAGATTTATTACAATTTACACATTCCTTTTTTATTGTCAAGGGTGGCTTTTTAAAAAATGAATACGTTTTATCGCTGGTGGATAAGAACATGTCATTATTTTGTGTTTCTTATTTTTTTCTATTTACTAATCTTACGATTTCTGTAAGAATTTGGAATGACTGCATGTGAGAGAAACCCAATGATGATAACTTACTCAACTGTAACTTTGTCTTTCTTCCAAACCAAGCAGGCCGGAGGCAGACATTTTAGAATCTGCTGTGCAGATAAGCAGGGGCTCAGGACTGCCCCCATCACTTCATCCACGTTCCACATGGGAATAATGTGCAGAGACATGTAAGTCCCACTATCTGGTAGGCAATGGTCTAATATTCTCCAGGCATTAAATCATTAATCTTAATAATCAAGTAAACATAAGAGGAAACTGAGGCACAGAAAAATTAAATACCTTGATTAGTGCCACCCAGCCAGGAAGTGGTGGAGCTGAGGTTTGAACCCAGGTATTTCTTGAGATTAGTCCCAGGAAGACACGTAAAGGGTGAAAGGCAAAATGAATTCAAACTAAGTTTCTTATTTTTACCAGGAAAAAAATAGCTTTCTTAGAACTTCCATTAAATAGACAACAGCTTACACCTCACCAGCTAGAAACATGTGACATAACTACATTTAACTACAAAGAAATATAGGAGATGAGCTTTTAAAGCAGGACATATAACTCCCTGAACAAAGTCAGAGTGCTACTTATAAGAAAAAATGGGAATCTAGATGGCGGTCACGTCTGGCATGAGGACTAGCTGTTTGTTCCTACCTATGCTTTGGTTACCCAACTTTTATATACTCCTACTACACCATTAAAGACATCGTTGTAACTCAACTACAAGAATTCTAATGACAGACACGGAAAATGATCCCTCTGTGGAGAGAGGGCCACAATGTCAAATTTAGTCTCTGCATTCGGTTTGACACTTGAGATCTCTGAATGGTGTGAAGTCTTCTCTATCAGGTCCATGTTGGTGTTCATGGTCCCGTGGTCTATAAACTAAAGAATCCTGAGACACACTGGTAGGAAAGTAACAGAATAACGACAATAAGAACTTCCATCCAGATGAAAAAATTAGAAACACACAGTTGCCATTAATCCAACTGCAAAGACAAATCCCCATGGTTATTTAATTAATGTTATTGGGTTTTTTTTTTTGGGGGGGTCCTTTTTCATTGATGAATTTTTTTTTTACTAATGAATTTATTTATTTATTTTTATTTTAACATTTATCATTTTTTAAATTTTTTAAACAATATTTGCTTCCCCCACCCCCTCAGATTGAGTCCCCATAGACTTTCCTTCCCCAAGGCACAAGTGCACCATCACCACAGTCCCCTGGCAGCACCACCCAACATATTTTAAGGACCATGTACCCGTATGTATGCCTCAAATACTTGAAATGCAAATTTGGACAGACTTTGCTTAAATGCTTAACTTTGCTTAAATGTTTAAGTGCCTAATTAGCTCGGAGTGAGCATGAAATGGGTATGTTGGAAAGTCATATGGTTCATCTCAAAATATCATAAGGAAAGTTGATATTAATTTATCTCTGGCCCTGTGTTCAAGAGTTCCATTTCAGCTTACAAGCTTTCCAACAGAATGGGGCCCCAGCCCCCCAGGAGAGGATGCCATGGTTTCTGCAAGTCTGATGCTATTGGATGGGCCACCAAAGAAGGAGGGTGCTCAAGGAGACAAAGGGGAGAGGGCAGGTCAAGGCAGCCCCTTCAGGGTGACCTTCCCAGCTTTGGGGAGCCCTCGAGCAGGCAATTTTCCTGACCCAATCCCAGAAGAGCCTCAACGGAAGACTCCAACTCTGGCAAATGAGGAAGCTGGCAGAAGATCTGTGCTCTTGGACATGAACGTGACGCTTGGAGCTCCGAGTGCCAAAGTTGTGACCCTCCCAGAGCAGCAAAATCTCACGGGAGGTGATTTCAACTCTACTGTTTCTTTTACCAGAGCAACCCCTCTGTCCCTCTCCACCACCTCTCCACCCATCAAAGTCTATGGGACCTGATTAAAAAGTGAAGAGAGAAAAAAGCCAATACTGGTTAAGAGCAGTCCGAAGGAACATACCACGCTAAATATGTCCGAGAGCCTTAAAGATATGAACAGTATAAAATTAGGACTTCCGCCAGCAAAGAGGCCAGAACAAGATATAAAACCCACCCTGTGGGGGCTACAGACCCTCCTGCCCTCATAGCAGAGGTTGTGAAAAAAAAACTGATGTATCAGTGCCAAGTGGCAATAGAAAAGGAACCCAAAGTCTCAATCAGAAGCCACCCCAGAAATGTGTTGTCTGGACCACACGTGTTGATGTCTACAGGAAAAATAAAGGCTGTCATTGAAAATGTTTCCAATTTTTCATGAATGACAATGAGCTGATACAGACAATCCTGGTTCAACTGTGACTGGTTAAAGTTTGGCTGGTATTATTTTTTTTAAGATTTATTTTTATTTATTTTATGCATATAAAAACTGTGGTATAGCCCAGAGGTGCAGGGGTGAGAGGATTCACCAGAGACAGAGTGAGGAGCAGAACAGGCGTATCTACTGAAACACACTGCTGAGGGGAGCAGCAGGCGAGACAGGAAAGGTCTGCTGTGCCATGTGGGTTAGCCATGGGGATCGGACTCAGGCCGTAGCAGTGATACCCCTGAGACTTAACCCCTAGGCCACCAGAGTGGTCCAAGTTTGACTGGTATTAATTAACACTGCTTAGTAAATACTTGACTTTAGTATTCAGTGGTATCCTTTTAAATCTAATTAGAGGACTGAACAATAACAATAACAATCCTGTTTGCATTTGCTTTTATAAGAAACCCAGTTCTAAAGTTTCTGTAACAAGTGTATTCTGACATGTTTTTAATGTGTAATCAAGATGTTTAGGTTGCCAGTTTCAAAAGCAAATATACTGCTTTTGCAAAGAAAGGACATTTGTAGATATATGTCCTTAATTCTTAAACATTAAGTCTGTGTTCGTGCAGATGATAAAAAGAAATTGCTTTAAGGGAATCATTCCTGGCAGTTCTCCTGCCCCCCTGTGACTATGCAGGTGCCTCTGTTTTTCTTTCTCCTTTTCCTAATCAACCTGTCCTTTTAAAATGTAAAAAAGAAAGGAAAAAAGAGAGGATGATTCCTTATATTGTATTGTCATATATTAGTTTGATTTAGCAGCTACACTAATCTCCTCTGACCTTGATTTACCAAATGCCAGAATTCTTAAAGGTTTTGATTGGGCATGACAAAGGAGACAGATAAGGAAATCTGACACAGAAATGTTGAACTTGAGCTACTTTTCTGTTGACTCTACATCACGTGTTTTATTTTATTTTATAATCTTTTTTTTTAAACACTTATTTATTTATTTATACACGCACTGAGTACAGTCAGAAGCGTGGGAGGGTGAGAGAATTCACCAGAGCCAGAGCGGGGAACAGAACAGGCAGACGGATGAAATACACTGCTGAGAGGAGCAGCAGGCGTGGCAGGAGAGGTCTGAGTGCCATGTGGGACCCTCGCTGGTGGCTGAGGATTGAACCAGCGCTGCAGAGGCTGTGGGCAGCTTGGCAGCCCAGTGTTCAACCACTGCACCACCAGGGGAGGCCCTACATCATGTATTTTAATAAAAGCTTTGTATACTAATTAGCCCATTAAAGTATAGAGAACTTATTGTTTTCAAATATCTGTTTGGAAAATAAGAACTCATATTTAACAGATTGCTTTCTGTTAAATACATTTCATGACATACAATGAAATTTTTATAATTCCTGGTATGAAGGGAGTTCAAATATTAATAAATTTTCCACTTCAACAATACATGTTCCTCCAAAATAAAGGATTTTCATGGGGTGTTGTGCAAGCTGAACACAGACGGGGCCTGTGGGATGCTCCTGGTTGATCAGGCCAAGCCCGCTGGTCCACAATCTCAAAAGCATGGAGGTGACAGTGCAACAGGGTGGTCCCCAGGAAAGGGGGAGGTTCCCTGCCCCACCCAAGGGAGGGTGGAGCTGAGTAGCAAAAGAAGAAGCTGCAGAAGAGACTGAGGAAGGAAGGAAGCAAGATGGAGCCAGGAGACCTGGAGGAGGCGCATGGAGCCTAGAGACACGTGAAGAAACTGCGCTTGTCTTTTGGTCGTGGACTGGGTGACACAGATGTGGGTGAGACCCGTGGGGAGGTGACAATGGCAGCTTTTATCTGGATGTTGATTTTGCTCTTTTCCTTCCGGGCTTGTCCGGTTGTTTGTGACCCTTTTCTGTGGGTCCCCACTGGAAGATGTTTTAGATTTGTGGCAGGCTTTGGGGCCTTGCTCTGGGCCGACCCCATATGGATGGAGTTTTACCCACGAGGGGATGGGTAACTTTGGGTGCTTCATTTAGAAACTAGACTCTTTGCCTCACCTGTATTGTTTCCTAGTTTTTATTAAAGATCCTTCCCATTAAAGTCTCCTATGTTTTGTGTTGATGCGGCGGATGGCAGAACCCATTTAGAATAGGCAGGTTTGCGGGGTTTGGGCTGCCCCTCTCCCTGTCCTATAACAACAGGTGGCTACAGGTCAAGGAAGATAAGATCAAAACTCGATGCCAAGAGGAAGAGGACTAGCACGAAATCTCTGTGTCTTCTCTCTGTACGGAGTGTGCTCATCTATTGTGGCTCATATAACCACTCACAGCTTTATATGTCAGGGGTTACTTTAAGTCACAAACATAATCTTAATTCTGAGATTGAATGTCCTCTGCAATACGTTTATCGAAACAATGATGTGTTCATTGCAAAAATAGGTCTCTGCCCTTCTCCTTGGGCTGAGGCCACTGCATGTTTTGGGGAAGTGGCTTTTCCTCTTTTCCTCACTTCCCCTCTCTCCGATTCCTAAGGGCAGTTTCTGGAGTTTCTGAGATTGCAGTGTAAGAAGGATGGACAAGGTCATGCTCGGCTGACACTATCTTCCGCTGCCTTTGGACTTGTCCCTGTTTGCAGCGGCCCTTTCTTTGTGGGTTTCCCTGCAGGACTCCTCTGACTTCCGTGCTAAGGCAGGGCCCTTTCACTGCTTCTTTCACCCCACCTCTTCTGCCCACCCAGCCTCCCTGAATCTCCTCTGGAAGGCCATTCTTGTGGGAAGAATTCACATTTATTCTGGTCAACATCTCTGCACCATTTCTGAGAATTTGTGGGCTTTGCTCTGCCTTTTGGAGGGGAGGCAGTTATTTTCTTTTTTTTTTTTTTTAAAGATTTATTTATTTATGCATACAAGAACTGGGGTACAGGCCAGAGATGTGGGGGGTAAGAGGATCCACCAGAGACAGAGTGGGGAACAGAACAGGCAGACTGACTGAAATACACTGCTGAGGGGAGCAGAGGGCAAGACAGGAGAGGTCTGCCTCGCCATGTGGGTTTCTCCCTGGCCGGGGATTGAACTCGTGCTGCAGAGGCTATGGATTGCTTCATAGTGCGGTGCTTAACCCCTTGCGCCACCAGGGAGACCCGAGGCAGTTATTTTCAAAGGCAAATTCAACTCTGCTTCATAGCCACTTCAGCTTTCTCAGTGGTGAAACTGACACCAGCTGCCTGAGGAGAGGTGATCAGGCCAGCTAATGGGCCTTTTTCTGAAGGAGAGCAACCTGGAATGATGGAGCAGCCGCAGATAAGAAAGGCCTGCAAGGAGACTACGAGAAAGCGGCAAGCCTAGAGTTTGGAGTGAACACTCCAAGCGCAGGGTGTGAATTCCAGGGCTGGGCCACTGCAGAAAAGACAGAGCTAAAGTACAAAAGGAAAGAATGCTGTGGGGACCTCATCTGAAGGAACTGATGGCAGATGTTCTGTTCATCTGCAAGAAAAACACCTACTCTTTTATCCCAGGATTCTAAGAGAGTAAGTGCTCCTAATATGAGTAACATTTGGGTTATAATTGCAAGGGTCCCTGGAACAGTCCAGGACTAATTGGAGAAGCTGTTCCTATAGAGATAATGTATTCACTTCGGTCAGTGCTCTGCACATACAGCTTTGGGGTATTATTCTGAATGTGACTATGGACTCCAGGAGGGCAGGGATTCTCACCTATTTTGCTTGCCTAGAATATTTCTGTGTTGTAAAGAATTAACCTCGCCCGAAAGGAAGTCCGGCCTTTGCCCTGAGTTACAGAGGGGTGATCTCTGGGCCTTAATGGGAGTGATTTTGTTTACTTAGGGGACTTGGGTCACCCCAGATATTTTGTGATTGATGACAGGATGTTTGGACCATGCTGTATTAGCTCCACCCCCAGAGAGGTTAGAGGCTAAAGGTCAGCCATTTAGGCTGGACTTTTCTGGTCACATCTTAAAGATATTCCAATTACCAAAATACTTCAAAAACCAATACACTCAGCAGATTTCTGCCTGATGTCTGTATGATGGAACTCCAGCAAGAACTCTGGCCACCGAGGTTTGAGTGAGCTTCTTTGGATAGCAGCACCCCATGCATGTTCACATGCTGTTGCCAGGAGGTGGCACTATCGGTGATGCCATTGGGAAAGGACAGTGGCAGGTTACAGTCTTGGAAACTTTCTGGACTCTGCCCTATGCATCTCTTCCCTTAGCTGAATTTAATCTTCCTTCCTTCCTCCCCTACTTTTCTGTAATAAAGCTCAAGTGTGAGTGTAGCTTCTTTCACTGATTTTAGCGACTCCTTCCAGTGATAATTACCAAGCCTGAGGGGGTCTGGAGAACCTACCGAGTTTGCCATTGGTATCAAAGGTGAAGCTGGTCATGGAGATGGTCTGTGTAACATGGCACGCTCCTTGACAAGCTGATGTTCATTGACTAGATTTCGTCTATCCCAAAAGGGGAAGCCATGGCAGGTACCCAGGGAAAGTGTTTTCTCAAATACAGCATGCTAAAGAGTTGCTTTCATGTGGTTTGTATGACAAAATTAGATGTTTTCATCCTATGGGTTTTCTTCCCAAGTTCACTTGGACTTTTCTGGTCATATCTTAAAAGATATTCCAATTACCAAAATACTTCAAAAACTGTTGCATTGGGCAACACCACACTGACAAAGAAGTGGGAGTCATGGAGCAGGCTAAATAATGCAGGATGCTGCTGAAGAGCAAGATTCTGGCCTTTTTATTGATACACAGCATTGGTTGTAAGGGGGAGGAGCAAAAGGAAAGGGGAAGAGATTAAGGGGAAGAATGTAGAAGATCAGGGATTGTGAGTCTGCCCTCCAAGCACTTCTTATCTGCTTGATGACTTGGTATTGTCATTGAGACCAAGCCCTAATTCCCCCCGCCCCCCCAAAAAGGTTTTAATCTTATCAACAAGGTGTTCCACTGATCAGCTTCTGGGGTCCTTTGTAA